TCTTAGTCCTTACACTATGATAGTCCGCATAGCGGTTCACAATATCTCTGTAATTATATGGGAATTCGCGGACGAAGTGTGCTCTTCTTCCTCTTACATAACGGCATCCATGCTGGAAAACTGCTCACTCTCACACGTCAGATGTGACACCGCCGTCCACAGAGTTGTATATCAGTAAATAGAGAGACAGTCTTGTAGCGAAAAATTGACTCCAATTGAACCTTGCGCAGGCCGTTGGTGAGTGTGCGCAGTAATCGACAACAGAACCGGCTTCAAATTAAATGATCCTTAAAGCAGGTTCGGCTTGAGAATAATATGGTTTCTCATTGCAACAGAAATTGAAAAGAAATCCAATGTGTGGTGAATGATGTTGTTAACACTGTGTCTTGAATAAATAAGAAACATTACAATCGTTAAGAACTTTTAATACAGTAGACTACAATACAAAGCTGGTAAGGGGCTTACATCAGAATCGAGAAAAGATTTTTTGAGATTCTGGTATAAAGAAAATCGTATATTTGTCGTGCGATCGAGTTTAAAGATCTATTTATGCACTCAGTGAGTATAAAAATAAGCAATGAAAGAATAAAATAAGTTGAAATTTTATTTTGGTGCGGGACAAAATTTCAGGTGAGCAATGCCGAAAACACAGTTTGAATACGGGTAGCCACAAAGTCGACAAACTTCAAATGCCAATAACTCAAATATCTCAAAAATGGAGCATCGGCAGAGGGTATGCACAGTGGCACCACGCTCAGAAAGTCCCTGACAGGGCGTGTCCGAGGACGTTGGAAATTTAAACTGTACATTCTCATGCAAAATTTGACTCTACTAAATATAAATAAGTGGGCCACGCGATATGAGTTGCATTACTTCAAGGGGAAACAGTAAAATTAATAATTTTATTTCTACAAAACGTAAAAATTATTTAAGATTGTTAGATGTTCAACACAATTTACAATTCTGATGCACTTCTGCTGTGTAAATATGGACAGTTATTGAAACAATCACATTGAAATTAATAACACTCACATTGACTAAATTATCACACAACCTTTAACTTTTTTCATTCATTATCGTCACTTGACCACGAGCTTGACCACTAATCATCATCGGAACTGCCGGTGTTCACAATAAATTGTACATTGTCAATAAATTCATTTCTCGTAGGAATGTTATTTGCTTCTAACCAAGAACGTATCACTTTACGATTATTCATTGTTGGTGGCTTATTTATTTGAACACTAATAAGGTACATGAGTTTGCTGGTAAATTTGGTATAAGCTGCTTCTCTAACCACTGCATAAAGTTGGTATGATTCATATCATCGTAATAATTACTGTGCGCAACATCCTCTACAAAACCAGAACGACTACCAGCATACTACGATGTCCTCTGACCAGCCCTATTATAAACTTCCGATACTTCATCTGATTGTTAGCATTTACTCACTCCGTACGATGGGTGAATATAGGTTTCGTCCAAGTATATAACGGGTTTCTTGTCACATTCAGGTTGTTCATTTTCTTTTAATCTTCTTAAATAACGAGATGCCATACTACAATGTCACTTCTTTCCATTACCAACCTACGTTTGTCCCGACACTTCTTGTATCGAAAACCAAATGTCAACAATTGCTTGCGAAGAGTTTTCCTTCCACCCGTATATTTGATCTTTTCTTGCACTTTTCTAGGAGCATTTTAAAATAACCTTTATTTATGTACAGATCGTCGCCTTCTAAACATTGAAATGGCGGTAAAGAGTATAATGTAATGGGCATGCTTAAATTATTGCTCCAAAGCGTCTGTTTATTAAGGATCCTCAGATCCTTTATAGTTTTGTATTGTCGTCCGTCCGTCCGTCCGTCCGTCCGTGTGCGCTCTAACTCTTTTTAAAAGTGGCCGATTGAGTTGAAATTTGGTGTACGGGTTCTTTGGACATTAAGGACGGACGCTATTGATTTTCAGGAAGCTGGTTCAATAGGAACAAAAGTTATAGGACTTCGAGTGAATCGGGAACAGGAAAAACTACGGGCTCAATATAATAGAAATCAACATATTTCATTCCCTAGGTCATGTATCGGGTTGGGACTTCCGCTAGATTATTCAATCAAAATAATCAAAATCGTTATTTATGCACCAAGATCGTCGAGAAAAAGACAAGGGGCATTATCTCAATGCTCAAGACATAAATTTGATGCATTTCTGGCGACCACATGGATTTTGATCAAAACATGTCAAAATCGTTATTTATGCACCAAGATCGTTGGGAAAAAGACTAAGAGCATCATCTCAATGACCAAAACATGAATTTGATCTATTTTTGGCGACCACATGAATTTTGATCAAAACATGTCAAAATCGTTATTTATGCACCAAGAACGTTGGGAAAAAGACCAAGAGCATTATCTCAATGATCAAAACATGAATTTGATCTATTTTTGGCGACCACATGGATTTTGATCAAAACAAGATTAAGAGCATTATCTCAATGGCCAAGACATGAATTTGATGTATTTTGTATGCTTAAATTATTGCTCCAAAGCGTCTCGGTTTATTTACAAATGAATCTGAAGCATCTGAAAAGTTACTGCTGTTTTGTTTTGTGATTATGTAACTGAATGCACCCAAAAATCGTGCTGATTCCCCTTTCACGCACTGCGCATGAGTCCCAACGGCTCCGCCATTAAAAGTCGGCCCCTGTAGTTGGAGTTATTTTTCCACGCGCAGGTCGTATGTACTGCCTCTCTATTTACTTATATACAACTCTGTGCCGCCGTCTCACAAGCGTTCCACACAAAGTTTCGCCCGCAACGCCTCTAAGCTAGTGGAACGACAAACCCGTGGTCGTGATCGCAACGGGCGTTAAGTAGAACGTACCCATTGAGACACATGACTTGTGTTCTGTTAATAGTACTTTGTGTACCAAGGCGGGAAAGTGGTTGTTTTCCGGGGCGAAGGAAGACATGGCCAGGCGAGGCGCAGCCGAGGCTGGCCACTTCCTGAGACCCGGAAAACAACTTTCGTGCCGTGGTGCACACAATATTTTTTATCCTATACACTTACATTTAAAATTAATCCCTCAACAACGTCCGACCGCAAGCGCTTGAATTTGGATTTGCTTTAACGCGTCAACGTGCACGCGTTTGTTTTGTTTATTTACACGTTTCCTGCTGACTACGCGAAAAAAAATTTACGAAACGGTGCAATCTAAGTGGGCCCACGAGTATATTTTTTACTCGTATATTTACCCCTTTCCCTTATAATACAGTTCAACGCAAATTCAAATTCTAGCGCGCTTGCGATTGCACAATGCACAGTGCAGAGTCACCGAAGGGAGTCACGGTGCAACAGAGCAGATGTGCAAGTGGAGAATACTGATCATGTGCGAACTGAGTTGACATTTCCGGCATTTCACTGGCGCGTGATTATTTCCTTAGAAAATAACGGGATTTAAGGGGTTGTAATTAATACCAGGCGCATTTGAAATTATTACTGGTCTTGTGTATTAACAAATGTGTTTTAAAATTGAATGTGTGTTTTCAGGAACAAAATCACACCGGTTACATTTTAAATCCTTCGCAGTATCCATGTCTTGTCAAATGTTACATGCTTTTAACACTGGATTTATGCTTGGCGACGAAAGCGCAATGGGCACACTTTAAATCCTTGATGATCTTGTATTTTAAAAAAACGTGTTTTATAAATAGATTTATTCATTCCTTACAGTCACACTGGAGACATTTTAACTTCGGGGTAGTCTCGTATCACGTATGTTAAAATGCTAGGTACTTATTACGGATAAGCGGTGTTCTACTTACAGTGCAAAGTGCATCTTGGTGTTAAATGTATTGACACAGATGCTCGTTATTGAAAGTAAATGGGAGATGACCAAGTTTGAAACGTTTGAATTGGTCACGTGATATTGGGAAAGTATTCAAATTCACGAAACATTGTATTATAGGTTCGCGGTAATTAAATAAATCCTTGAATTCAGTAAAATAAAGTGAACATAGGGTAAATTTAATTATTAAATCAGTGTTGACGATTTTATGTTTCTTATTTAATTAAAAAGAAATAACTTCTTTGACATTTTATTACAACCGCGCCATCTAGCTTACATAAGGCGTATTTTTTTTCTCGCCTAACCGACAAAATTGAATTTTCTCGCTCCATGCGTGCAATTGTCTTCTTTCGCGTCCTCACACAGGCGAGAAAATGTAAGTTTCTCCTTGTATAGGATAAAAAATTATTTAATTAGACACTGTGCGGCGCCCGGTAGCGTAATGGCAGACCGTACCATTGTACAACGCTTAGAGAAGGAAAGAGTGAGGAGTGATAATAATGATCGTAAAGTGAAGCCCACATTTGTTTGTTATTTCACGGAAAACTAACCTATAATTTATACTTGTGAAACGATATGCTTTCGTGTGTTTTTTGGCTATCACTTCCGTGCACTACAATCAGGGCCGAATTAAGGTTTGTCCGGGCCCTAGGCACAATGAAATTTTCGGGCCCCTTTTCATAAATTATAATAACTCGTGTTCCAGCACAGTTGTGTACTTTTTCGCATATACGTTAAACCGTTCGTAGCTCCTTCTAAATATTTCAATTAACCGGGTCAAAAATATGCCAAAAGTGAAAGACATCTACTTATGTCTATCGGTCTATAAAAATATTTTATTCACGATCATATTGTAATCAGTCTCATAATTGTCATTTTGAAGGATAAGGAATTAAGTTGTGTTTTACAACACTTATTTTTCCAGGAGGGAGGAAAGTAGATTCTCGAGGTTAGTAATGTTCGATTCGAGGTTAGTAATATTCATTACCTACCTCGATTTAGTTGCTAATATCCTAATGGATGGCGCTCTCATCGTAACTGTCTGACACAGATGACAGCTGATTTAGATGCAAATTGTTCAAAACCGCATTTTAAAAACAATTCTTATTCTTATTATGAGTAATATGGATTATTTTAAGTTCTGTGCTTTTTTTGTAAATTGCAAATGAACGACCAAACGCGAAAAAGTGAAATAAGTAAATGCGGACCGAAGTAAACACAAGTAGGAGTTGTGATTAACTTTAGCCAGATTACGGAAGATGATGGTTTGTTTCACGTAACCTAAAACTAAACGAGCGCGGTGCTAAATGGTTAAGTAAAAACAAAAGCAAAAAGAAACCGTTAATTATTAAAGGATCGCGGTAAGTATATAAAACTCCAACTTGAGTTTAATGAAATTGATTGTTACTTTAGAGAGCCCATTACTGTTTAAATTTCTGGGTGGAAAAGTTCAATTCTTGTCTATATAAGACATGGAAACATTGGGTTGCGCTTGCGACCCATGAGAAGAGCAAGGGATGGCAATTTATGGCATCATAATGTTGCATATGGGAGACGTCGTAGCACTACCTGAAGAGGATACTGCCATACTTTGTTATTTTCGCGTGCCCGTAAAGCGAATGGGCCACTGAATTGGCGACGAAACCTCCTGCTACTGCAGCCAATCTACAGCCACCGAACTGTTTTAAGTTGAAGAAATCCACTGGCACTTGCTAATATTGTAGCGATCATATGCCAAAAACAATGTCCGGTAATTAAATGTAATTTGTCACATTTTAGAAATAGATAATGCTATTTTTTAGGGCTATCGTATTGGAACAGGTGTTTAGTGACTACCTGATTGGATCTGGAGAATAAATCTTTCGTTATTGACATCTGCACAGATTATAATACTAATATTGTAACCCAGTCTAAATCTGTAATCACAAAAGATCGCTGAAGGTACATTTTAGAATAATAAAACTGACATGGTCATTAGGCATTACCCGTTACCGCATTAGGTTTGAATGTGGATCACAACATTATTTGGTCGTTCATAATGTGGATGATTTCTTTACCTTTACCTCATTAAAATAAGCAAGTAAAACATTAAGTTTTACCTATACCCTTTCCTGCCCACCATTGTTCATTCACTTCAAAAATGCATTTGGGGAGTAAATTTTTTACTACACTCAATTTCCCTTATTTGAGGGGATGTACATTGAAATTCTTTAGTATGGGCCATTTTTTAACATACATGTTAAATTAATATGAATATTAATTAGGTAAATTTCCAAATCTGTATTACCGACAACATTTTATGTAGGGCAATAATATTGCAGATGGCGCATAAGATGAATATAATACGTATAAATTTAGTGAATTATTTTATTTTTGATAATGGAATGATTATAATGATGATCGTGAATAAAATCGTATACGAACCTCGACGAAAGGTTATTTTTCTTAGAATATAAAATGTCAACATTCAATATGGCGCCCATAAGAAAAACTAAAGTTGTCACGTGTTTCTCCGTCATCTTGAACGTAATTAAAAACAGGATGCCATATTTGAAATCTCCATTAAAAAGTGTCCGAATAATGTGCTAATTAGAAATGTCTACTACGACTAGTTTATCATAAAAAAAATTAAAAACGAAAATCAGAAATTTTCGTTTTTTTGTGATATCTTCAAAAGTATTGAAGATATTTCAAATTTCTTTTCAGATTCTTATTCAGCACGGAAATTTGCAACTTTGCCCCCATTTAACCAACTTTCTATCTCTTAAGATAAGTGAGATCCCCATAGTGGCACTCGAAAAATGGACACCGTGTATAGTGTAAAATTGTTGTGTTGTGTACTTTAAAATCTCACACGTTACGTTACGTGTCCTTAATTTTTCCGGGCCCCCCATCCTTCCCGGGCCCTAGGCACCTGCCTAGTGTGCCTAATGGGTAATACGGCCCTGACTACAATGTACCATTGTTCAATAAGTTTTTAATAATAAACATGAAAATGCAAAAAAGTAAACAAACTTTGGCTCCGAAAATATGGCCGCCCCAGATTTCAACGCGCAGCATTGCCCTTGATAGGATACAACGCACAGCCTGAAAAATAGGCCTTGTACCGTGGTACGTTATGTCTTCCGTAAATCGCCATTTATGAATGGACAATTCATATCGCTGCACAACGCAGCGCCGCATACTTGTCACGTTTTAATGTTGTTTTTTTCGGAGGTGCACGCGTCTGTGTTGTAATTAAAGCAATAGAATTGCAGTTATAGTTATTTATTATATAAGACGATAAAGGAATATTTTAACCATCGAGTGAATTAACTTTCATGAAATGGCTAGTTCCCCTTTATCATCGTGTATAACACAAAACTTTTGGTAGCAGAAGCCATATAAATGATTGTAAATCTAGGTTTTGTTGTTACGGCCGTTTCCACAGTACTCGGTATTCATATGTTCCAAACGTCATTTTATATCATACTAGACGTGACATTTGAAGTAAGAATGACAGATGCTAGGACAGATATCATTAGAATGCACCGTCATCTGTTTTACTTTATCTATCCTAGCAGTTAAAGTTATAACTTTATCTACCCTCAGGTTAAAGAGCGTCTTCTCATTCAAACCTACTAAAATGTCATTTTAACATATGCTATAAAATAAATAAAATAGTACTATACGTACATTGTAATTTACTTTAGTAAACAGGTACAAATTCACAAATACAAAAACACTGTAAAAAAGTCATTTTAACAAATTGTAAACAGCTGGGTTAACAGCATTTTGATTCTTAATGATTCAGAACTGTCTAAATTTGATGGAATGCCATGTTTTAAATTATTTAAAAACTCTTTTTCTATATTACATCCACTATCAGCGACTCTAAAGTGAATAATATCTTCCAAAATTGCACATAAATTAGATTTAGTAGCACTGGAAATTAAAGGAAACTCATTGTGAGAAATGACATTGTGTAAAGTTTGAGCACGTAATATTCTTGAATCCTTGAGATTAGAAGATTTAATGTTTTCATCTTCACACAGTAAATATTCTAACCTCTTTAAGGCGCTCTTAGCAATTGGCCAGTATTCTATATGCGTATTAATTGCTCCTTCTTCAAACACCTGCAACAATTCGGGGACATATAAATAAGTTATTTGTAATCTTTTTCTACGTACTTACTTCTGATAAATTATCATTTGTTATAAATCTCGAGCGGAGGCACAGAGATAGTAACATTTTAAAACTACTCTCTTTTGGTAGCACATTAACCATTTGATCTAGTAGTAAGTCTCTTGTGTACTCTGGAATATCAACTCTCAATTGGAACCTAATGAATTAATTACATTATCTACCTCATACTTTACATAGTTTGCCAGATATTGATGTGCATGACACAGTAATGATAAAAATAAATGAAGTTTTAATTTAACATAATTACTAATTTCATTAGAAGCAGCTTTAAACACCTAACTCCTAGTTGGTTCGAAAATACTATCACGCCAAGACCTAAATAACCAGAGTAATTAAAAAGTAGAATGTTACTGGACTCGCTGATTATAGCTTATAATGAAATGTAACTAAATGTCTTTGAAAAGAAGGAAAATCTTACAATAGAGAAAAATTAGAATCATCTGCACCCAAGTTCTGTTGGCTTAATTGACAGACGGTATTACGAACATCCTCATCATCATCTTCGAGTAAAGTAAAAACAATTTCCCATATTTGATATAAATCTGTTCCTGAAATCATTTTACAATTACAATTTGTGATTCTATAATAAACACCTACCTTGCAATATACTATCGGTCCAATAAAACAACCTACGGTTTGCTACCAAAAACTTGGATAAAACCAATCGAAGTGAATTTTCAGCTATTGGTGAAGCACATTTGCGAAACACATGAATCAAATTACCAAAATTACCACGCTGATTACAATTATTATTACTTAAGTAAGCCAAAATAAAGCAATAAAATTCCTCGTCTGAACTTTTCATATATCTCTTAGCGTTGTTCTGTATAAGCTGATAAACTGTAGCTTTTTGCAAATCTGTTAAATCGTGCAACAATAAGGTATCAATGGCACAATGAATGTTTTCTGTGTTATCTTCAATCGATTTCCACAGAGTACTAAGCAGAATAGAATATAAAAAAGATTTTGAATCGTCACTTAGTGGTTTCAAAAAATGATCACAGATAACTGAGTATTCCGAATCGTCTTCCAAACATAATTCGTAATTTTTATACACAGGTTCCATAAATTTCATATAATTAAGGTACACTAATGCCATATGTTGCAAATGAGCATAGTTACTTAGATCGCCTTCTATTATTTCTTTGTAATCGGCTTCTGTTAACGAACCGGAATGATTTCTGACATGTAAAATGTATGCCAGTTTTAGAACGAGTACGCGTTCGTTGTACTTTTTAGTGACATTTTTTATCCATTCTTGTTCTTCTTGAAACCATAAAATTTTCATAATTGTTTTAAAGACTTTAATATTGTGAAAGTCTGGATCATATCTACAACAAAGTAAAGAAGAAAATTAACTGTTCGTCCAGAGTTCATAATGAAACACTAGTTTGGATATGCATTATTTTGCTGTACAGGAAGATTTTAAAAAAAGTTATAATGTTTCTGAACAATCCTTATTATGTACCTGATGATTAAATGAAGCAACGTCTCCAAATAATACACTCCAGTAATCCATTGCACATTTTGACCGCAAAGTAAAAGAATCCATGATGTGTCTTCGACAAATTTTTCAATATTTATATATGGTATAGTGTTATAAGGCGAATGCAGAAGATAGTGGAACTAAAAATAGTAATAACTACATTTATTGAATTACATAATAAAAAGTCAGTGGCTGCCCAAATAAAATTAGTTTGTCCCAGAATGAGGAGGAATAATAAATCACAATGACTATAAAACAATTCAAGGTCCTTGCATAGAAGCGAATAATAGATCTACATTACTCAATTAGTCATATAATGTTGTAAACGTACTCTTTTCTGGAATACAATATAGTTACGATGTAATTGAGTTATTTTTTTAATAATTAAATTCGCTGTTAAGTTACTATTATGTGTGGTTACCATACTAGCACAAATTTCTCAGTAGGCTCGAGCGAATTCGGCTCTCTTGAGAAGGCTTTGACTCAGTTTTCGAGGTATCACGTGGCAGCCGAGTGGGCGAGGGGGGAAATGTGTAGGAGTGAACGACCGAACCGGCTTCTGAATTTCACCTCGACGTACTTTGCAAGGTAATCGCCAGATGCCGTTAGGCTTTTGAAAATGAAATATGACATCGCAAAAATGGATTCTTTGACCTCTAATGACCTTGCAAGTGGAATATAACACCGCAAAGAAATGGAGGTCATTGATCTTGGATAACTTGCAAATGATACTGCAAAAAATAAGACAATTGCGCTGCAAAAATTGGCGTTGTTGACCTTGGATTATCTTGAAATAGAATGCCCTTGAGCTTCAGCTGGACCTACTTTCCAAGATCATCACCGCCACGTGGCATGCGACTTTCACTTTGGGCTACTTTCCAAAGTCACCACCAGCTGGAAAAATGAGGTCATTGCTCTTCTATGGCCTTGAAAATGTAATTTGATACCACAAACAATAGGTTCAGTGCCCTTGGAAGACCTTACCAATGTAATTCGATGCCGCATACGAATGCAGTCATTGTACCTACTTGGATATCCTTGAAATTGTAATTTAACAACACAAAAATATGACAATTGACCTTGGATTCAATTAAAAATGTAGACATCACAATTGAGGTCATTGACCTCGGAAGACATTAAAAATGTATTTTAACACCACAATTGAGGTCATTGACCTTGGATGACCTCAAACGTGTAATTTGACAGTTGACACAGCAAAATGGGGTCATTCAAGGATGCTATATAATATAAGGGATTGCTAGATCACGGAATTTTTTGGCCGCGTGTAGTGTTTGCCACACCGTGCTACAATGGTTTTTACCACACAATTTGAAGTGTTTAGCCTAATACGGCTTCGTCTTCCTTCAAAGGTCGAACTACAACCCCCACATATCAGTAGTAACAATCTTAAACATAACAAACTCAGCTTTATATACAAAATATCAGTACACAAATATGTACGCTCTTTACTAAGGTAAATGATACACAAGTAAATCAATTCTCCTCAAACCAGACACCATTTTTTAAAAAACTACGCCCCTTCTTGGTACGTGCGCTTTTGTTGCGTGAAGGCGCTTAAAAAATCGCTTCGTGCTACTTGTGGCGCTGCAAATCGTACCGTGTGAAGGGGTCACGCTACCAGCCGCTTCAAAAAACGCCTGGTAAGAAGGGGCTCTAATACGTCCAAATGAATGTTATAGGTACGAGTAGGTATTTAAATTTGTCACTTGTCATTCATCGTCTACAAGTCTGCAAATTCTCCTTCGGTTTTTCGCATACTCAAAATGTCGTGAACCCATTTCATCCTGCATTTTTGGTTTTTTGGCTCGTCATCATCCATGAAAATTGCAACTAAATCAGTTTATTTAAACTTTGTCCATCTTAAAATAAAGATTTCTCGATGTTCTTTTTGACACTGGCTGAAATGAGCGCCAGTTGAGTGTAAAATGTGAATACTATCTCAAATTGTTATTACAGTCCAATACTGCACGTCGGCGTCCAAGAATTTTTGTTGCAATATAGCGAACAACACAGTTATAACGCTAATTCAAAAACGTTGACAACTTACTTAGCAAATTATAACAGTCAATTCTGACAGCCAGGTCCGTTGGTGACGTCACATATGACTTAAACGCGGGCAACATTACAAGTATTATATATATTTATATTACATTATATATTATATAGGGATCGAGCAATCCTTATATTATATAGTATCCTTGGGGGCCATCGACCTTGCAAATGTAATTTGGCACCTCAAAAAATTGAAAAACGATAACCACAGCTTGCCCTTTGATCTTAACATCGGCCTACTTCGCAAGGCCATCGCCCACAGGGCACGCGACTTTCACAGTGATCCAATTTCCAAAATCACGGCCGCGGTACACGTCACCTTAACCTGGTAGGCCTGTATATCTCGAACGCCCACGTTTGTTGTTTGGAGTCCACTCGACTCCAGAAATTTTTCAGCGCATTATTGAAGCCACATGGGCAGAGTGTGAAGGATGTTTAACCTAAATAGATGACATTATTATTTACGGAGGTACCGAGGAGGCAAGGTTAGTAGTAGTATATAAATCTTGACCTTAACCTACTTTCCAAGGTCACCCTCAGGTTTTTTTCGTTTTTTTCCGGATATCTCCAAAAGTAGTCTGAACTTTTTCAGATTCAAAACTGCATTTTGTTAAGCATCAAAATACGCAACTTTGCCAAATTTAAACTACCTACCTATCTCTTACAGTTCCCGAGATCGCTATGGTGGCCCTCGAACTTGAATCAGCCTGTATAGTGTATAACAACTTACCAGGCATGACCAAACACTTTGTAATAGACCTAAATGACTGTGCATATAAGGTTTCTTAAAATTGTGTTGACATGTTTTTATCAATATCGATAAATGGGTAAGAACCAATGAAAGGGTACCTAAGACTTATTTACTTAATGTTCATTTTGTTGAACTTTCCCTCTAGTAGATTGGTAGATTTATGCCCAAGTAAAGTGTGTCTACTAACCTTTTGCAAAAGTCCATGGCAATAATTATTCGATATTGTAGCATCAGTAAGACTCACTATAGTTGATACAACAGCATGAGGTAATTTATTTATTTCAATTAAACTAGCGGTGGCTTGAGCAGCCAAATTACGAATTTTATGTGATGGATTACTTAAAAAAAATTCCATGTAGGGTAGAAACGCATCTAACTGTAAAGAAAAACTGTTAAATAAATTATGTAATAGTAAACAAATGACTTACATGTACTCGATCTAATGTTTCTTTGTTGGAATATAACCGATTTAAAACAAGTAAAATTGGGTATAAGGACGGATGATACACCTCATGAGATGCAACTTCAAGTTGTTCTAGTAAAAACTTGAAAAGATCTGGAAATCGCACAAAAAATATTTGACCTTGCATCTTATTTTTTATGCTGATTAGCTCCATATCACGCAATCTTTGAACTCCAAATATTCGCATAATAAGGGCAGAGAAAAGAAGAGTTGAAGAGTTACGTATCTAAAAAAAAGTACATGCACAAAACAAGCAAAATTGGCTAATACTACACTTACACCCCAAGCACTTGAACTGAAACCCCTTATTGCAATTTTTAGTCCATGAGCACAATGTGGCATCACTACTTCGCCTAACTGGTTATGACGGAATAATGCTCTTAATATATTTAGTCCAAGTACTCGCTGCTCGAATGGTAATGAATTGTTGCCGCAAATGTCCAATAAAGCATTCATACATTTTTCAAACAGTTTGCTACTTGCGGTAATAGGTTCTGTGGATAAAATGGCCTGTGAAATACTGTCGTTATATGTCGCTCTTTAACCCTTGAAAAATCATATTACCTGCACCATAAATGGTATGCCTGCACTTCGACGAGTTTCGCATGATTTGACACCTTCGAATGAAGCACCATTTAATATTGCAGTTATGTCACCAAGCCATTGTGCTGGTAATGAACTAACAGATGTTCCTTCTAATCTGCAACAAATGTTTCTTTATTTACATTTAAGCGTCGCAAGCTTAAATAACCAGATAAAACATTTACAATATCTCATGCACAAAAAGTAAATCCAGTAGCCACCAAGAGCAATAGGTATTGGTACTGGGAGTGCAGTATGAAACTCTGGCAATTCGTCAAAACAATTGACAAGTACACATTTTGGCCTGTCTGGAGATTGACTAATGATAAAATGTAAGTAGGAATTTGAAATATTCGTATTATCTTATTTAGGAACTGTAATTATACCATACTGATTTCATAGTATCAACTTAATTCGAAGAGGCGTTGAATTGTTGCAGATTAAGGTATTTTATTATTAAATAATGACGCACTCTGTATGCCAGTGATAAAGATACCTAAATAAAAACCTTTACCCACCTGACAGTGATAAGAAAGCTTCCATCTACGAGTAAAAAATAAGAGGAGAGAATGTAATGATGGTGGGAGCATAGCTTGGAGCATAGCACGCGAAGGAAGTCGCCATCATATTACCTCCTTTAAGCTGGTCAGTTATGTTGATTTGACTAATTATAAAATAGAAGAGATGATGTTAGTTTTGTTTTATTACGCCACTGCCAGTGGTGACACTATTATAACCTCCTTTTTATCCATTTCCGTCACGTTCTTATTTTTTACTCGTAGGCTTCCATACAGGATCTTTATTTAAGTTTGCAACTTACCTCCAAATTACAGAGCACAAATTTGAAAATCCAACAGAAGCTTGCTCAAAAGCACCACGATGTTTGGTATTGATCAGCAAATCAAAAAAGTATTTCCCCAGACACCGTAGCTGGTCCTCATTTACGAGCGCGCCATTATCTTTATTAGAAGAAAATTGTGCAAGCTCTCCAAATAGCAGCGATATTTCTTTCGTTGCCCGCCATCCATAGACTGTTACAACTTGTGACTTAGCGGTATCATCACTGTAAACATCGGAATCATCTGGCACATACCCTTCAGGTGAATCATTGCAAACTATGGTATTAGCCACTTCACTAACTTCAAGACAAAGGAATATTAATCTTTTTATCAACATCTTCCAATAAAGAAAGCTGCACTTTTTCCTGAAATAAAATATTTGACTAAATTAAATGGATGGCAAACATCAAACCTCGGATTAAAATTTTTTAATATATATCTAATACTAAATAAAAGTCCGTGCGTTGGCTTAGTTGTAACTGCATGATGGATGTGCTCTTGAGCACTTCGCAAGCAATCTCGCAATTCCAATTCCAACAAAACAACCATCAAATATGTTGCATCACTTAAAATATTTTCGCTGTCCTTGAAAATGGTTGGATCTCGAATTTTGATTTTCTGAAGAATGATATCACATATGCCCGGTACTTTAAGACTTAGGTTTATCATGTATGCGGCAGAAATTGTTCGGGAAGGTTTAATATTCAGCGCCATTGATAAGCACTGATCAAGATACGTAGAGATGACATCTTTGTCCTAAAAAAATGTTATTAATAGTCGCAAGCAATTATGTTCTTCTTACATTGAAATTAAAGAACGATGTGGAGAATTCGGCTAATAATTTTGAAGCAGTCTCCTTGTTTTGCTCATAGGTGTCATACTCCAAGATGTGCTTTAGATTTTCGACATCGCCGTGCTTCCACAATTTTTCAAAGTTCTGTTTAGGCATCATTGTCGAACTGAAATACAATATTTCCAAACAGGTTGCTTTTCGGTCGTAATTGGAGTCTAAATAAATACCAGGCAGTAGTACTTTTCCAAAGAGGAATTTCCAAAAATTTGCATAAGCAGTTAGAACTGGGGTAACATCAGCACTCAGTTTCTGTAATAATTTCTCTCTCAAGTCGTCTGAACTGAGAGATTTTGCGGATAGTATTTTATTTTCAAAGACATTTGTAACGTCTTTAATGCGCATCATTACTTTCTTTGTGCACGAAATTAGCTTTTGACGGAAACTGCCATTGGGTACACTTACATTGTAGTAACAATACTCAATCAAAAAATTTAGCTCCCATTCACTGAAGACTTCCGTGCTACTATGACTGTTTACAACGATGGCCAATATGCAAATTCTGATCTAAAATTACAATCAGCTATAAAATTGAAATAGAGCTTTTGTCTCATACGTACCTCGTCATTTAAATGAGTTTTCAAAATGTTTAAAGTCTGATAATCTAGATAATTCCGCCAGAAACCATTGGACTTCGTGCAATAACCAGATAAATTAACATCTATTCCATTTTTGCGACAATAGTGAATACAGCCCAGTAGTGCCAATATTTCAGAATCAGTACTGAGGTGTTGCTTCTTAATTCTGCAAGATAAAATTAAAAATTATTGTAAAATGTATGCAGTACTCTCTGAATATACAGTAGAAGCATGTCCCGTACATTTGAAGGTACAAGAGATCATTTGGTTCGCAACATTTAACGTTGTGTGTAATAACTGAGCAAAAAGGAATATATTAAAACTGCATAGATCCCGATAGGGCTGTATAAAAAAAAAAAAAACTAACGATCTCACATTCCATTCCCAAGTTATCAAGAGTGGATCCTTTTAAATGCACCATTGTGGCGGCCGAACCTGGAAGGTTTAAGAAATCTCTGTTCAGTGAATACAGAAAAGTTCATCCTGAGTGTAAACATCAAAACATAAAAGAGATCTTTTTTTATTTTATTATTTATATATTATTATTTTATTTTGGCCCCTTTTTGTTAAAGAAATCTTTAACAAAAAGGGGCCAAAATAAAATTGTTCATATGCGCCATGGGCCACAGTTGAAAATCCAAATAAAAAGAATAAATAAAAAATAAAAATAATAAAGAAATCAATAATTATCTTCTTTTTGGTCATTTCTAGAGACATTTAACTGTCAGACACTGATTGTTTGAACACGCATGCGTTACAAATTTTTCGTTTTCGCTATGGAGAAAATATAATTACGTGTTTCAGAACGTAACCTTGTGGTGGACATTACACTATGGATGTTCTACATGCACAAACTGGTAAGTATATATGCTGATTCCTGAATGTTAAAGTTAAGGAAAATTCTGCTTTAACACAATTTTCTTTATTGTAGATCTTAGATTTGCAACTAGTTTGCTGCAAAGTGCTTTACCAGGGAATGCGAATGAGACTCGTATAAATGGTAATGCAACGATTGATGAAAATGAGAATGCAGTATGTGTCAATAATTGTTACTGAAAAATAAAAAAATATTTACTAACTTAATATGACTTTGGAATTCATAATCCACCCCACTTTGTATCCTTTACGCATTACGATCTCCTCAACGGCGTCCATGTTGGAAAACTGTTCACTCACGCGTGACGTCACACCGTACTCAAAAGCGTTCCACTTAAGGTTTTGCCCACAACGCCTCTAAGCTAGAACGACAAAAACGCGGTCGCGGTCGTTACGGGCGTTAAGTGAAACGTACCCTATAAAACATGACAGTACTATGAAGTTAGGTTATAAAAAATTACAGCTTGTATTCAGATTTTATTTGTCAATTTTTTTAAGTTGGCAGTAAATTTGCCCAAAAATGGCGAATGATTGCGGTACTTTCTATATCTAGTGACTTTAATAATCATATATAATACCATAAGTAGTCGAAGTATTGTCGAATATTTTTGAGGTGCTGTCACGAATGCTAGTTACGCTGATTAATACCACGAGCGCTTGCGCAAGTGGTATTAAAAAGCGTAACTAGCATGAGTGGAGCAGCAGCTCAAAAATAATCTACAAATACTTCGACTACGAATGGTATTCGGAGGACTATTCAATGAATCTAAAGAAAAATTAAGCATAATAAATTACCCACGCGAATGTATTTCCATGACAACAATAAACGTCAAAATAAATTATGGAAGTTGCTTTTCATTTTGCTATTGATTCTATTCGAACTTTTGTGCTCCAAGCTAATTCGTTATGAGTGATTAAATTAAAAGATGTGGTGATAAGTCGGTTGTCGAAATTTATTAACAAACTAAGAAGAATGTTCCGGTTAATACGACAAAATTTCGCGTCATTTCACTGGTGGAAGTTTGACAAATGTCATTGAATAATCGCATTGAATTGTCGCTGAAATACCACACGTGAAATTATCGCTGAAATACCACACGTGAAATTATCACTATAATTCGTTCCCATTGGCGCAGCAATTTGAAACCGAGACATTTCACTGGTTGAAATGTGACAAATGTTAGATGAATTGAATAGTCATATTAATTAATTATGGAACACATATGAACATATATGGAAGTTTAGCCCTTGCAGCAACGTTCGAATGAACAGTTCCTTGGTGTCATGATGAATGAATATCTCAACTGGACACCGCACATACCGTCCCTTTCTACACACTACTTACCGCAAGTTACGCAAGTTTGTGAATTCGTGGCCAGGTTAGCCAACCTAGGCTTGTTAAATATAACAACTCACACGTACACAGCCTCCTATCGTACGCTAACATCACCTGGGGATATTCTTCTGCATCGAACACCTCTCGTCCTGCAAAAGAATACTATCCGCCGTATCTGTCACGCAGATGCATACGATCACTGGCGGCCCTGTACATATTGCTATGGTAGGCCTTCCTGGGGTGCTAAAGAATGCGCATAAGTAGCGTATTTTTCATTTAGACTACGTACTAGCGGCCAAGTCGCGCGGGCGCTCTTAAAGATATGGGAATGACAAGCGCCACACCCTGTATATAATTTTTATAAGAAGTAATTCGAAAATCTGGTACAATTTATTACAAAGGACACATAATTGTTGAGTTTTATTTAATTTTAGTCGTAGTCGTGTACTTTTGTTAGGACAATTGTTCAAGAATTTAGTAGGTTGTCATTGTTCTTGTTTGTAATTTAAGACGTAGAAGGTAAGTAACATGTGGGTAAAAAATGGATTGCCTTTTTATGAAAATCAATTAAAAATTGCTTGATATGGGGCGAGATATGGGGACTTTATCAAAGTAAAACATAATTAAATGCGATCGTTGGCCCTTATTACCGAAGATAAGGAACGCGATGAAGGTGGTGAGAAGTTAAAACGTTGGCGCAGCAATCTAACATGGGAGTTGTTCAGGTCATTGGCATAGCGTACGTAACAGCTAGTTGCATATACATTTTCATACAATTTTTCCGGCGACCTATGTTTTGCAATTGCAAGAGTTGTTACAAGAGGTAGTTTATCAGTGGTGTACAGTCAGAGAGCACGCGTACAGTTACATACAAGTCATACAAGAGAAGTTTTCGGCAATGTTAAGTTTGTAGTTGTACCCAAGCTGCTATTTGTAACTATGTCAATCGTCTTGGAACTAGAGCTAGTGATGTAAGATAAGTAAGAAGAAATGTTACGATCGCCAAAATACATGATGATAAAACTATTCAACCGTCTTCCACAAGTCGTCAAGCATATCCTCTCTTCACACATTTAAAAGATACCTACAAAAGTTCCTCATTGATCACCCGTTTTGTAGAACTGAAGAATATCTCGCCAATTCTTAAGAGCTCTATGTTCATTCAACTTCCTGTTATTGCACGTATTATTTGTTGTCTATTTTTATTTCTGTGACGTTCTTATACTCTTATGCAGTCTACATGAAAAATAAAAATGATTGATATTGATTCTGTTTGTGGTGTTAAAAGTTTCACAAAAAAGTGGCCCAGGATCAAGAAAAACGCAAGGCTCTATCTTTAAAAACAGCCGACATGCACTGTTGTCTCAACCAAAATAGAGCACACTGTACAGGGTGGTTCACCATTGGGATCTCCGCAACGGTAAGAGATACAGTGTGGGTTAAATGGTTTTTGAAAAATCTTTGAAAATAATAGAGATATCACCAAACAACTGAATCGCATTAATCAAATTTATGTTTATATTTTAAGTCAAGTTTGAAAACCATAGATATTTAAAATTCAGTTGTGTATTATCATACAATAGTACATTTGTACAGTGTGTTCAGAAAGAAGTTTATTTATCCACTGCGTCCAAGATAAAGATGTCTATCACGGGGACCACGTAAACCATAGAAGATACGACGACAAATTAGGAAACAGTTGCGCAATTAAAGGGTTATTATCAATGTGCCAAAAAACAGAAATTTGCCAAAATAATAACACTTTCTCATTGCCATTGAGCTTTACAAGACAGCAAATAAGAGATTTTCAATACAACGTTTCGGAGAAGTCATCACGAACTTTATGTTTTTATATCACACATCACTACATACATCCTGTTGAAACCAACTGTATTGATTAGCATTTTTTACTACAAATACGATATACGGCACACAAAAAAAAACCTAATCATGCGAGAATACTATTTTCCAGGAAATTTGTCAAATAGGTGGTAATAAGAGTGTTTTTATTATTTTGGCAAATTTCGATTTTTCTGGCATATCTTCTGAAGTAATCGGTATTTTCTGGTTTTCTTTAAAGTATGATAATAATTCTTTAACCGCGGATCTTTTGACTTTAGACCATCGTCGTATCTTCAATTGTTTCGGGGATCCCTATGATAAACATCCTTATCTTGGACACAGTTTGGCTGATTAACGAACTCGTACGAGCATTACTCATGACTCATGAGTTACACAATAAAATGCTAAACGCTATTGTTCAGCACAAGGTGGATTCATAACGGTGGCGGCACTCTGATCGTTTTATATAGGAAGCGCGTTTATGCTTATTGCCTACCTTCCAGTCGTAGGCTGGTTTTACTATGGAGTCTTATGGGAGATACTACGTTTTTTGTGTATATAATAATTATTTAAAGATTTCTGATGTTGTACCTTATACAATGTGTTAGTGTACCCATGGATTATGATTTTACCTTACGGCAGCAACTTCATTTTGTTTCTCCAGTACAAAAAAAAATGTTCAAAGTTTTTCCGCCTGCATGTAGGCAACAAAGCGTTCAGATGGGTGAAAGATTGTCATTGAAATAAAATAACAGCTATGCCGCTCAAATTTATTTATACAATTTTAAATTTCTTTATCGAATCTTTAATTTTTTTTCTTTTATCCGCATCCTCTAGTCTGCGTTTGTTATATTGTATGCATGTAAAAATCATGCGAGTTGTTAGATAAAACCGTAAAAGGTCTTTCGTCAATTTCCTTTTGTGTAGTTCACAGCCCACTGGTTTGTAGGTATTAAGTTTGGCATTTAACTGCAAAAGTAAAATATAATTTAAAAAAGTTAATATCGTGCAAGCAACATGCAATAGTATATTAAGTAACAAGGGATTAAAAAGTTGTTATTTTCGAAAGAATAGTTAATATTCTTGAGGGACCAAAAACTAGTTTGATCCAGTGTTACTTATACTATTTTTTCCAACACCGACCGTTCTAAATTCATTTCGAAATGAGTATGATTTATATTATAAAAAAAACTATCAAAAAGTAAGGTAGGCTATTTAACAATATTAGTGTCATGATCACAAGGGATAAAATTTTTCTTGATTCCTAAAATAAGTTAGGTGTCTATTACCTAACCACTTAACGAATAATAAAAACGTTAAAGCTTAGCGCCGTACTTAGCAGTTTGAAATAGGTAGTGTGCAAAAAATCGTGCGTTAGGATGCGGCGTCGGCAGAATTTGGAAACGCTGATTCATTCCATTTTATAACATTGGTTTTGCAAACTAATGTAAAACCTAATTTGCAATTTTTTTTAAATCAACGAATTTTATGTTAGAACTAAATAAGTTAAAAGAAAACTTGCAAGCTCTTAGTTAGCATTAAATTATGAAAATGCCTCTTCGTCTGGAACCGCAAGACTATGGTCTACTGTGAAACAGCTCATAACCAAATATTCTTTTATTTAATATTAGAATGATTGCCATAAGAATAGAAGATATACCGCAGATTATGTCACGGTAATGTCTTTATGACGTTGAGCGAGAATTAGTACCTAACTCAAAGCCACGGTGAATAGACTCAAAGCTTATGATTATACGATTGCTGGGTTTCTCCAACAAAACTTAAGTAAGGCTTAAGTTATAGCGCCGTGTTATTTGGTCGTGCTTGGTCGAAATGAATCAATTGCTTAGTAACGTTGAACTTAAGTCGAAGTGAAGTAAGAAATAATGTTGGAGAAACCGACCATAAAAACTTGAAATAATGTGTACGTTGAGTTGCCTTTAATCAGGCGGAAAAATTTAAGGTACTGATTCTGTTGTTCATAATACAAACGTAGTCCTTTTCGTATATTCAAATGACAATAGATAGGTATAACAACACGCTATATTGATTTCAACTTCAAAAGTATCGAAATAATGATAATATTGGCAAAAACCGCCTAATCTCCCATATAACTCCATAGTAAAACCAGCCTACGACTGAAAGGTAGGCAATAAGCATACGCGGTCAGATTTGGACAGCGCTGTAGGCCGGAGTGCCGCCACCGTTATGAATCCACCTTGGTTCAGTATATTAATGATATCTACCGGCTGACCCAATAAGACTGTTCCTCGGCCATATCTCGAGAACCAGTCGTCATATGACTTAGGGGTAAAAAAAATTATTGGGTAAATCGGTCATGAAGAATCGCTGGAAAATATTTTTAAGTTCTAAAAATGACCAACAGAGGGCGTAACTGCCATCTTAAATTTTAGAATTGCATTTTATTTAAATTTCGCATAATAAACTAAATATTCTTTTTTGACATTTTTAAAGCGAACCAGTTTATCATTTTCGTAAAAACAAACACTCAGTTGGTGTGGTGTGGAGCGTTCAATTGTTTTTGCAATAACCTGCTTTAACTTCGTAACCGTTTGACCGATTTTAACAAATTTGGTATGGTTGAAAAGAGCATTCCTTGGGCAATTAGAATCAACCAAATTTAGTTGAATCCTTCTCCGCCAGGGGGCTAGTTTTGACACTATAACCCAAAATCCTAAAAAAATCAAAAAAATGAAATAGAAAGATTTGACGCTTTCATATTGGGAAATGAGATTAATGTAATTAATTAATTAAAATGCTTAACTTGTATCTAATTTACTTTTTACCTATTTCTGTATTTGCATATGCTTCTTGGTTAGAAATCGGCATTTTAGAAAAGATTACAAATTCAAAAAACTGCACTTCCTGAATGTAAACACAGCAGAATAATTTACAAATTGCGGCTGTTATTATTTTATAATGCATCATGTTTCATTTGTTTAATTTTTCAAGACCTACCTAAAAGTGTAGGGTCCTTTTCCAAACAATCTTTCGCACCATCGACAAATACCGGAAATACGTCAAATAAGATACAATTTAAGCATTTTTATTAATTTATTAATTTATCTCATTTTCCCAATATTTGAGGTTAGGAACGATATTTTGAAAAACGGTTTTCACTGGACACTTTGGGTGTTATTTGGCTTTTCATAAACAAAAAGTCATATCATTCCATTTGATTTTTTTGTTTTTTTTAGGATTTTGGATCATAGTGTCAAAACTAGCCCCCTGGCGGAGAAGGTTTCAACTAAATTAACTATATTTTCGATTCTTGTTGCCCAAGGAATGCTCTTTTCAACGATACCAAATTTGTTACAATCGGTCAAACGGTTAAGAAGTTAAAGCAGGTTATTGCACAAACAATTGAACGCCCCACAGCATCTTTGGTTTTGAAATAACTGAGTTTTTGTTTTTACGAAAATGATAAATAAACTGGTTCTCTTTAAAGATGTGAAAAAAGAATGTTTAGTTTATTTCGAGGTTTATTTTGCGAAATTTAACGAAAATGCAATTTTAAAATTTAAAATGGCACTTACACCCTCTGGTGGTCATTTTTAGAACTTGAAAATATTTTCCAGCGATTCTTCATAACCGATTTACCCAATAATTTTTTTTACCCCCAAGTCATACGACGAACGGTTCCCGAGATATGGCCGAGGAACAGTCTTATTGAGTCACCCGGTAAATATAACCCAAAGAAAAGAAAAACGCAACTCAAAGATGCACAAACAAAGGAAAACTTAATACTTACAATGAAGTTATTGCTTTGGAATCAATTTTGAAAGCTGCTATGAACAGTTCTTGAAATATCTGCTGTGGTTCATCAGAATTTGCTAAACGTGCTACAATTTCTTCTACCCACGCTTGTAACCATTGCTCATAAGATTGAACTTCCTTCCAATGTATTTTCATTAACCTTTCATAACTAGTCACTACCTATAAATTATAACGCTTAACACTGTCATTTTAAAAAAGAAAAGATGTGTTCACATAAGCCATGTAAAGGTACTTACATTTGCTGCTTTTCCGGAACATATAACATCATCAAGCATCTGCACAGGTAGGTTACTATGTTGTTGCAGCACAACGCTGCAACCAACTTCGGAACATAAAACCATAATAATGGCATAAAAATTAGAGCACTCCCCAAGATCGTTCACCCATTTGAATAGTGTATTAAAATAATCTGAGCATCCTACAATGATAAATAATATTAAAGAGCGCTAATTTACAATGCAATTACCTTGAGCTTTAGCTTTGAGAGTAACTTTTATCAGAGATTTGAACATTGCTTGAGTATTATTTTTGACAACATCAGGAACATCATCAATGTAAACGTTTATGTAATCTAAACACTGTCTGTAGATATTGGATAGTTCATCAACTTCTAAGTAAGAAAGATGTGAAGAAAGCGTGGTGATTGCTTTAGAAATGCCCATCATTCGGGAGATATTCGTTTTAATACCAGAACTAGAATTTATGAATGATGATTTCATAATTCACGTTTATAAGAGAGTACAATATAGTCATAAGTTATTACACGGCGCACTTTCCCTAGTTTCGCCCAACCCCTGTTTTGTTCCAAGATTTTCCACAAAGAACAAACAACTTTTACACTCGATGTTACGTAAAAAGCTTTCTCGCGCAGATGTTTTATTTAATTGCACTATGCTTGAACAACTGACCATCTCCATCAACGAAAATGACGAGAAATTCAAAATACATTTGTTTAATGTAGATATTTCTCTGGAATTTTTTTAAATACTTTTCTGGAAACGCATTTGCACATGAATATTCAAAAAAAAACCATAAACACCTCTATTTAAGAAAATATTAATATTTATGTTACCTACCACTTTATAACAGGTGGTCACTTTGCCGTTTCTGAAATTTGGTTTTGCATTTGTATTTTGTTAAACATAGAGAAATTTACGCATATACCAGTTCATAGCGAACGTGAACAAAAGTATGTCTGGCGATAACAACAATCTGTAGGCTCCATCTACATTCAACACACCCCCTTAAGAAAGACCTAAATCAACCCAGTTAAAATAGGTACTTTACTAACACTGTACACAATGTTTTCATTTGAACTTGAACTGAATACTTTTATGATCTTAGTTACAGATTAGTAGGTATGGCTGGTTTATAATGAAATATGAATTTGTCCCTTTGCAAGAGCCTTGACCAATCATTCAAAAAAATGATATTACCTTGTAGCTGAACGAATCAACTTTTGTAACATGAAGCACAATATGATTTCATGTCCAATTCTACCTTTGTATAATACGTCAGATGGAGCAACAATAGAAATTCCTATATACAGACACACATTTAAGAGCTCCTTCATTGAGGCGTCACCTACAGCTCTCATTCCCAGATGACGAAAAAAGTCTGAGCTTCCAGTCTCTTTTAACAGTTCAAGATAAGGATGCTCTTTAAACCACTGCAATAGAATTAATTACTTACAATACAAGAATTAAAATAAACTACTTACACCACCATCAGGAAACATTTCAGGTGTTGTACTGCATAACATCACCATCATGTGACCACTGTTACATTTCACATCATATGCCACATTTATATGAAGAATTAGTTCATACAAACTTTTGATTAAACTTATTTTATCATTCAGACTAATGTTTGAGGTGTTATAATTTTGTGAAAGACACAGAAGAAATTTTGTGGTATTATACAGGTAAGTGTGTAACAACTGCGAACTTAAAATATCCTTAGAGCGTTCCCTGTGAAAGTATTCAGTCCGCTTAGAAAATGAAGTATACATTTTAGGCTACATACCACAAGTTCTCCACTAATTCATTCAGAAACGTACAAGAGCGACTAAATAATTCATGCACATTTTCCAAAATTGCAATTCTAGCAGCTAATATGTCAAAACTTGTATATAATGAGTTGATAAAATGATCCGTATCTTCCCGTTCTACATCCTCGTTCTTTATGTGTACTTGTATCATACACTTCATAGACCTAGAGAATTCTTCACATAATTCGTGATTATCTTCATAAGGTAGCAAAATACGTGTTACTGACTTTTTAATGGGATGCTTTGCAGTGCAAGATAAATACATATGAGCAAGCAATTTTCTTGCTTTACTTTTCTCTTCATTTTCCAGTGCAGATTTTAAGTACTCTGAAAGCTAAAAGACAACAATATAAATATAAGATAAGTGCTAAGATAAATTTGTGGAATGAAACTGTGCATAGTATTCATAGCAGTTCAATAACTTATGGCTTTTAAATGATGACTTACTCTTTTGACGGATTCCTGCTGAAGACAACACTCAGTAGTTTCACTACATTTTTCAATGATATATCGAAAATGTTCATTGGAATTGTTAGATCTACACTCAGAAATACATGAGCAAGATCTTCGAAAAACAGGACCCACAATCTTCCTAGGTTTCATAATTGACACATGCAATGCAACGGAATTTTGAAATAATTTAACGTAGAGTAAATTCGGTGTTACAAGACGAGAGATAAAGACTTCAACATGTTTACTTTTAAAAAAGATAGGTTACTAGGTTAGGTTAAGTTCTACGTTTTAGAAAAGTGGCTAATGTACGGATCATTCATTGGTTTAAACAGAGTTTAAGGCTTGTCTCACAGTGGAAGCGTTTACGCGCGAACTGGGATTCGTACGAATACGTACGTTTATAGACGAACTATTCAAACGTACGATTTCAAACGGACCTTCGCACATTAGTGATTAATAAATCGTCCGTATACGTGCGTGTAATTGCGACGTGCGAACCGATCCCATTTTGTTCGGATTTTTATGCGAATTCGCAGGTTGTAGACGATTGTGCTTGTGAACAGTTGCTCAGCTCATGATGGATACGCAGCTAATGTGCGAATCCGATTTGTGCGTATACGGACGTACAATTTCTGACGTTAACATGCGTATTTCAGTTCGCGCGTAAACGCTTCCACTGTGAGACAAGCCTAAAGAGAGGTGGATAATACGTGACAAATCTGATTACTCAATGCGACGGTGAAATTCGCGATTCAGATAGAGGCGATGGTGTAATTTTACAAACGGCGAGTTTAGGTGGGAGCGATTTGTAAACATAGAATTATTCAGGTTATTCTAGTAGGTTTTTAAATGAAATTGTACCAATTGTAAAGTGAATTGAGTTTATCCTGCCGTTTTTGAGATTAGGGCCGTTTGCACCGAAAAAATTTAAGCGGAGCTTAGCTGAAGTGTAGCTTAAGATCCATGGCAACGATTATTGAGACATGGCTGCTATAGGTTATAAGCTCCGCATCATATGCTGTCAAACCGCATCCATTTTAGCAGGAGCGGTAAAAACGCATAGTGTGACACCACACCACCACACTTGGGTACGCGAAATTGCGACCTGGTGTTTTACAACGTAGGGAATCCGGCTATATTTTTAAGTGAGAGGTTTTCATTACTACACTGGTATTCCGAGTTAGTTTTTTCTCGCTTTTTGTTAGCTTTTTGTTAGTCAACTTGGGTACATCACAGTGTGTTCTAACCTCTACGCTCTAAGATTTTAATTTACTTCGTGTTGATAACTACGTTTTAGTTGACCAAGTCAAATAAACACTTTTATTATTTTTTTGCCACTCATGCTTGGATGGTAGAAATACAATTGTTTTAACAATTGCTAGTGTTGTATTTTTATGATACCCTCACTATACGTCGTCTGGTATAAAAACAGTCGCATGTAGCCGCCCACGACAAAACTTATGTCTTTTTCTCTCGCATGGGCTAGATAGAGACGAGAATATAATAGCATAATTTGTGTACCCCTCACAGTCGACCAGTTTTGCAGTGGGCGGCTACTTGCGTTGATTGACGTGACTGTTTTTACACTAGAAGAGCAGAAGTAGGTGGGTGCAGTTGAGACACGAGATACCAAAAACATCTCCAAGAGACACCGAGTGACCGACAACGACATTAGAGACACAATTTGTGTGATTTGGATATGTTGAGGTTATGTTGTAAAAGTTGTAAATAAACTTTAGGAAAATCTATTTATTGTTTTATAATGATAACAAATACACACTAAACAAAAATGAGTGAACCGACAGATATATTACAAGCCATTGAAACATATAAAACACAGGTGGGTGTATAAATTGTATTAGTTTGGGTAAACTTTTTAGAGCCAATTGTAATGTAATATAATTGTGTAACTGTGATTTAACTGTTGGAAACCAGGCAACATCACAAAAATGCCCAATATCTCAAAAAATAATTGCCAATATTAGAGACTTAACTGTTGGAAACCAGGCAACATCACAAAAATGCCCAATATCTCAAAAAATAATTGCCAATATTAGAGACTTTAATTATACGTCGATGGTTCAAATAAGTAGTTTCACATATTTAGGGCCGGTATTTCCATCTTCGGATAAAGTACTAGATTCGTACCTGCCAAATAACATACCGCCCGATATCTTCCGTTTATCTATCTGCGAGTATTTCCATCAACGTGCGGTATAAATATATCCCGTAGATAGCTACCTAACCATAGCCAATGTTGCCGATTTTAGAAGTCTGTAATAGAAAAAGATTGCGAACGGCAGGGCCATATATTAGAGCAAGATAGCTTGCTACCTGACAATTTGAACGAATGCTTTTGTTTTGGAAAGAAATTCAGTGACTTGTAATATACTTGTCAAACGTAAATTACAGAATAAGCTTTACTTATGAGTACTCTGAACATGAACCAAAATTGTGATGTAAATGCACCGCGTAGAAAGAAAAGGCTAATTTCAGCACATCTGAAAATCGTGTGCTTGTGTCAAGAAAATCTTGATCCATTTGGAAACTAAAATAGGTTACCTATATCCTTCAAGAAAACATAGTATGTATTTGCGTACTTCTACTTCCATACTTCAATTTCTTTCTTCCTATTTAGTATAGGTACGGTTGGTAATTTCGCAAATTTTTAAAACGTCACCAGTTTACTAGAAATTTGACGCAATATCCTGGGGTTATGTTGATAACTGCAGAAAATCTACCCAATAACTTTATCTAGAACTTATCCTGCCGATAATATTTAAACGAGGTTCGAAATACCCGAAGGGACGCTAACTGTCGGTTTACCTGGAAGGTATCTTATACTTGACTTTATCCCTAGATGGAAATATCGGCCCTTAGGAATTCTAGATACCTTTAAGATAAATCTAGATACCTTTCAGATTGGTTCGTTTGAAGTTTCTACAAGTAAGTTGAGTTGTTATGTTTGTGGGCACTGTAAAATAAATGCATTGGTCCTATATCACGTTCAACCCAATCCAATTTATTGAACAAATTTAATTCAAAACATTGATAGACATTGACACTGATATGAAGAACTAATTTTTTATTATTATGATGACAACAGACCACTTTTTTATTATTCACGTGTATATGCTTTAAAAATATTGAATATGCATTCTATGTGCACATCACTTATCAGATCCATATGAAAAGTTTATCAAAACGTGAAATGCATCAAGTTATTTATTGTGTGTTTGTCTTGGTTTTTAAGTTTTAACATTAATTAACAACCAGCCTATCCAAACTTGTCTTTGTGGGCATTTTTGAAAAGAGAATTTTGTGCCCTTTAAAATGATGGGTGAGTCGATGGGAGGTGCATATTATAATTTTAAAGTGAGGGTAGTCTCATGTTATATATTACATCATTTTTTTTAGTTGGCAGAAGTTGAGCAGGCCTTAACATCAACAGATGAAACGTCACAAAGAGTAGAGTTGCAAAGCTTACGAGACAATATTATACAATTAATTGAATTAACCGAAGAGACCCTGCAGAGAAGTACGATACCACAGAGCAATAGTAAAAAGAATGACTCTTTGGAAAATGAATTTGCTTTATTCATGGTAATTAAACTAACTGTTCATACTGCAAGTAGCTACAAGTTATAGTATTTAGGCAGAAATGGAAAAAGAAGGTGCCACAAATACATCATCGAATAATAAAGAAGATATTGAAAGTGAATTAAAACATTTGGAGGGCATGAAGTGTAAAGCACCACATAAACACAATTGGGGAGATGTTATGTATCACAATGCTATAGTGTGTTCTGTGGTTCTGGATGAGAGAGAGCATTATTCGTTTGATGAAATAAAGGTAATTTTTCAGTAGGTAAGTTATATTACTTTTTGAGAAATCGTGGATGCCCTTATCATGATATTTTGAAAGAGTCAAAGCAGAAATTTGGCCAATATATCGTTATCGACGGATAGCGGATATATGTATCAACAAACAAAAAATTGGTCAATCGCAATTCAAAATGTGGAGATGCGCATAGGCTTTTTGATTCACTGCATCTGCATCTGTAAAGGCTGTTAATGGTTTTTTTTTGCTTCTTTCCTCATTTGTTGTAGCATTTGTGCAATTGTTTTCCTAACGAATCATGAGCAATAATTTTTCATACATTTATAAATATTCTTGTAACTACTTACATTGCTGTGATAACACGCATAATTTTATGAAAAACGTCTCTTGAAACGATCATGCTATAGATGTTGATAAAATTTGTAGGTGTTTCTTCGTATAAAATTTTCTCAAAAATTTCTTTATCTTCAGAGATATTTTTTGTACATATAAAATCTCCTTTGTACGTTTCTCCACAACTTTGAATGCTTCAATGCTAATTCTTCCGCAATTAACTTCGCCGTGAGATTTGTTAGGTCTCTTTCAGCTGCAAGAGTCGATTCCCAAGCTATTGAGAAATGCTTATAGTGCTCCAGGAGTGTTAATTATATTTTAGACATCTCGTCACTTGTGTATTTCTTTAAAGATTTAGTCCTCTACAATTTGTACGCTATATATTTTTTGCTGTACATTTCGGTGTGCCCTGTGCTTTGAAAGAATTAATCCACGCCATCAGGGTTTTTGTAAGAAACCACCTTAACGTTTGACTAGTGGATATGAGATAGACTAAGGTACGATAATGCTTCACAGCAGTTCGTACACTTCTCTTTATTTTACACAGTGAGCCACACACTTTTTGTGACAACAGTAGCATTTTGTCGTCCTTGGCCATAAAGAAAAAGGTTCTACTTGCCATAGTCAATTTAGGGTTCTTCTCAGGGTTCTTGGACTCTACTGAGGTGAGTGTGTTCCAATGCTAAAAAACCTTCCTGGGGGTTGATTCATCATGACTCTATGGAAGATAGGTAGGTACTGACTTTTGTTCACGAAATCTGATTTTCCAGACGCCACTTATTATTATTGAATCCTTTGATTGCCTCAGGCTCCAAATCGAGCTCCAAATGATCACCTTGCAGAGCAGTGGTCACTGATTTCTTAGACTACCTCACTACACATTCTGGATCCTTGGTTTGCAAAAGTCCAGAATATTGGAGCAGTTTTTAAACTAAATTTCGCGGAACGTTTCGTATATAAAAAGCTTTGATTTATTTATCTTATTGTACGTTTCTGATTAGTATTCTACTTTATTTACCTGTCTTAATTTTAATGTAAGTTTTTTAAGGTGAAAATTATGTTTATAAATCCAACACATCAGGAAATGCTCCCATGCCCTTACATGATGGAAGGGAATTGCAAATTTGACGATGAACAATGTAAATACTCGCATGGTGAAATTGTGTTATTTTCAACACTGAAAGAATACAGTGAACCAAATTTTGAAGTATTATCAGTCGGTCGTATAGTTCTAGCCAAACAAATGGATAAATTGTGGGGTAGAGCAAAAATTTCTAAAATTAGTGAAGAAACTTGTGTAGTTCAATTCGAATCTAGTAAAAAGGAATTAAAGCTTCAACTGCATGACGTGCTGCCATTGGATAGTGAAAGTGAAGAGGACATTTCAGATGATGATGACGACTATGGTGAAAGGGACGACATTATTAACATGAGTTTATTAAATACACCTACTTCTCAGGCATTGGGAGATTGGGAAAAATATACCAAGGTATGATTCATTTATAAAATGTAGCAATCATTGCTTTATTACTTCCAGGGTATTGGGTCAAAACTAATGCAAAAAATGGGTTATGTAATTGGAATGGGAATTGGCCGTTATAGTGATGGAAGAGTAGAACCAGTTTCAGCTGTGGTTCTTCCTCCGGGAAAATCTTTAGGTGAATTTTTTGTCGATAACTTTGACTTTCCTTTAACCGCAGATTTTTTAATTTATTAGTTACTTAGGTTTACATTTTCCCCCTTTTTTATAGGCTCACATCACTGTTGCGGACAATGCTTTGAGTTAAGAAACAATTATAATGATGTATTGAATTTTAGTTAATTGTTTAAGGCCTTGTGGTACTTACAGAGGTTTAGGTATTAGTCCAGGAAATAGAGACTGAAAATGGACCATTTCCTGCAAAACGAGAAGTACCTAGTTCCAATTTTTTTTGCATGTCATGAAAGAATATCTGGTGGTTAAGAATCCAAGTTTTTGACCTCCCACCCCTTGTGCTTCTCTCGCACCACTCTTAAAACCAAAGAAATTTGGTTGGTTTTTTAGTTTTTCAATCATATCTTTTTATAGATTCATTTTACAAAAAAATATTGTTATCAGAAATTGTAGATTATAAAATTCTACACAAATTTGATATACACTACTTTTTTGTGAAATGTTTATTAAAAACGGTATAGAGCTTCAGAGTTGCTTATATTTTTAAGAATTCTGAAATTTCTATGTAGATGTTTTAACCAAATTTTATACTTTATCTCTATATTTAAGAGTTTTATGAGAAAATATCTTGAACTTATCGTGCTATAAAATCCCCTACGCTGCACCCTTACCGAAGGGGATGCATAATAATTCCACTTTCAACCCTTGCTAGTGGTGGGGATATTTGAATCACTGTGAGATTGTAGGGCTTTCTAATATACGTTTGAAACAAAAAAATTATCTCACTTCAGTTCAGCTTCATCCTTAAATTCCTTCATCCCCCCTCCCCCGCCCCCCAACCGCGGTAGGAATAGATATTTAAAGAGGAATAGAACACATATGTAATAAGCGTTGTACTCTCTGACTAACTTTACAAGAGCGTTTAAATATCCATTTTTACCGCGCGGGGGGGGGGTGAAACTGAACTGAAGTGAGACAAGTTTTTAATTTCAAAAGTATATTAGAAAGCGCTACAATCTCACAGTGATTCAAATACCCCATTAGCAAGGGTTGAAAGTTGAATTATTATGCATCCCCTTTGGTAAGGGTGCAGGGTAGGGGGTTTATACCACGATAAGTTCAAGATATTTTCTCATAAAACTCTTAATTATAGAGATAAAGTATAAAATTTGGTTAAAACATCTACATAGAAATTTCAGAATTCTTCAAAATATAACCAACTCTCAAGCTCTATATCTTTTTTAATAAACATTTTACAAAAAAGTAGTGTATATCAAAGTTCTGTAGAATTTTATGGTCTACAATTTCTGATAACAATATTTTTTTCTAAAGTGAACCATTAAAAAGACATGATTGAAAAACTAAGAAACCAACCAAATTTCAGGGGTTTTGGGGGTGGTACGGGGGAAGCACAAGGGGTGGGAGGTCGAAAACTTCGATTCTTAACCACCAGATGACTGTCTATGACATGCAAAAGAAATTGGAACTACTTCTCATTTTGCAAGTTATCACCCTCTATTCCCTGGACTATATGATTTCTGACCCATATAGTTGAATTTTATTGTTTTGTTATAAAATCCCTTTCTTATTGATATTTCATATTCATTCTATGTTGTACATTTTACTTACATCTAATTTTCTTTGAAACAGATCACTGCATGAACCTTAGAGAAAAAGCAGGAGGAGACAAAGATTTGTTCAGTGTGGAGAAAAAGTTAAAAAGGTTGGCGAAAAAACAAGAGAAGAAGAATATTAAGGCATATGAAAGAGAGAAGAATCAAGTGAACGTATTCAACTTTTTAAATGAGACGTTGGCAAGTAAGAGCAGTGCTCCTACACCAAGTGTGTCAAAAAGTAAACACAGAAAAGAAATAAAGTTGGAAACTTGTCGAAGTTTAAATGTGGCAAGCTTAAAGATTGACGAAGACATAAAACGAACGGAAAGAGATTTATGTCAAATAAAGGAATCTCTCGGCCGAAATTTAGATTCTAATTCTCAAATGCATAAACATTTGAAATTAAAATTAAATGCAAAGCAAAGAGATCTACAGACACTTAAAATGAAAGCAGTGAATATTGCATCGGAACAAAGTTTGCGAAGTGATAAGAAAAAAATGACAGTATTTTAAATTTAAATAAATTATATATTTTTTGTTGGTAATTTTTATTTGTTTAATTGCACTATGCCATCCCACTGATGATAAGTTAATACATTTTGCCAAGTGCATCAAAATACTTTGTGGTTTTTATTTCAAGTGTAGGGAGCATAATAAATTAATAAATTTGACATGCAACTAACACATTTGATTTGTTGTATGATGGAGAGCACTTTTTACAATGACTTGTTCCCTTGCATATGAGATTGATTTGGGTTTCTTTCAACTGTTGGAGCCTATTGTGTGTGCCATCATAAAATGTGCATTCCTAAAGAATTAGTTTCTGGAAAATTTCAAAGTTCTCGTATGTCAAATAGTTATGAAAGTGGGATTAAATTTAATATCCATATCTCGTTCCCCCAGGTGGAGTGCCTACCTTCTTAAGAAATATTTGAACAGCACAGTGGATTGTCTGCTGTTTGAAACCTCATTGCTTTCTCTAACTAAACTGTTCTAACATTAATTTTGATTTCTAATGTGGCGGTACATATGGTAGGTAATACGCATCACACCACAATTATAAGTAAAATCAACACGCGTTTTCCCCCATGCTGTACAAAAAAATTTCCCTCACTCTATGGAGTACTCTCTGTCTCTCGGCTCGTTTTACAACTGCCGTTCTATGTTACTCACACCATTCATGTGATTAATAGAAATATTTTTACCCCTTCTCAAACACTCAAAATCCAATGCCCAGCTACAGCCCCGCACGGGATACTTTTGTTTCATAGCCATCTTAAGATTAAGATTTTTTTGTGAAGATACTTGTATTATTACTGTTCGGTAATTTGCAATCCAATGCATGAAAAATATTTTAAAATTTGCAATGAGAAAATGTTATTTGTTTTCAAAAATTTCAAAAAAATAAAAATGTGAATTTTCTCCAAGAGTATTCAGAATTTCATCACTTTCCAAGTAGCGTGCAACTTTCTATCTCTTATGGTTTCAGAGATCCAAATGGTCACCGTCGAATTTGGGACACCCTGTATATACATTTCCATTTGTTTAAATCTACTCGTAGGTTTAAATGGAAAGGTTGCTGTTTTTGATGTCTGACAATTTATTTACATTCTGTAACTTACGTAATCACGATTCATGATACTCTAATGAAAGGACCTAGACCCAGCATTTTCCTTTTGAGAGTATATATTTTCTTCTGACACTTCTTTGTTTTCGAGATATTCAACTCTAAGTTTTGATCCCACTGGCAGATATGTCCCGCATAGACCTTCCCTTTTCCCTTTGAAGGTATCTTCCTCCGACTCAGTTTTTGAGATGTTTGAATTCGAAGTTTTGACAGATATGTAGGTACATGTCGTCCAATTCTACCATTTTCAGTTTGGGAGGTTGAAAATGGGAAAAATCGAGTAACGAGCTGTCATTAAATATTTGGTTTTGAAAGGCAATACGCAAATCAAAGATGAGTTGGACGCTGTCTACTGGGATTCTGCACCATATGATTTACCACCGTGAAATTTTGGGGAGTTGAATTCAAACTTGGCGGCCGTACAAGCTTGGGAGATGATGAACGTTCGGGATGTCTAAAAACTGCAACCACTATCGCTAAAGTTCACCAAATGGTGCTAAACAGCCGTCGAATTAAAGTGAGAGAGAGAGAGATAACGGAGGCTATGAAAATGTCAAAAGAACGTGTTTGTCACATTGAAATAAAAGACTTATGCATTATTAGCTAGGATCAATGAATAAACATTTTTGCACTCCTTCGTTCTAAATTGCGTTTTCCCAATAAAACACGAACGTCGGGAACGTCAGTTTTACAATTGACTATCTACTTTCGCGCACTAGTGCCTAAAAATTCAACGAAATTATCTATTTAGTGCGGATCATAAACTAATAAGTAGCATGATGGAAGAGTAAAAAAGAAAATATAAATACACTTTACATCATTCCCTGTAGTACACGGGCAAAAATAAGCTTAAACCAGAAGTTTTGAACAATAAATTGACATTTTAAATTTCTACTTTATCGGCATAGAGGACTTGATTTTTTCAAAAGAATTATAATGTCGCAAAAATCTCGCGAAAAGGATTTGAATTTATATAAATTCGATTTAACTAATCCGTGCAAAAAATAGAATACATGTTACGTGCGTGAACAGTATTTGCTTGATTCGCGCGAGATGCGTCGCTCGTGCGCGTTGCGCACTCGCGCCGCCAAACTTCGCGCTCATCTGCAAAATAACTGTTCCCGCACTAATAATGTAAATAACTATTACCTATGATGTGTAGCAAAATATGTTGTTAATCGTTTTCATCATTTGAAAACGTTTAATGGGACTTTCCATTAAAAAAATTGGGTTTGGAAAAGAACGTTTTTTTATAAATTGGCGTATCGAATTGGTTTTTCTCTGAAATTTTAATATAGAATGTGTGGTTTTGTTTATATCAGTGGAAAATTTGTAGTTTTGGCTACCCAGAGGTATAATTTGTTTAGGGGGGTTCCATTTAAAATTTTTAAAAAATATATGACATTTAGCGAAATCAATCAATCATTTTGATTTTTCGATAAAGTACCTAAAAAATTATGTGACTGTGGAAGAGGTCTTAACGTGTGCCTCAGTCCAAAATTTAGCCGCCTGTGCGATTTAGTTTCTCTCAAAAAAATTTTGAAAAACTGTCAAATGTTGATAAAAAAGGGTATAAAAGCGAAACCGTTAAAGTTAGGGGTATAACATGTTACATAAAGTATTTTTCAAATATCCAATTCAAAGAAGAGCGGTCAGGATAATCGTCGGCATTGAACTACCGTGCAAAAACTGTCGTGACGCGTTAAAAATATTGAACATTTTGACATTTCCAAGTGCATACATTCTTGAGTGCCTGTGCTTTGCAAATATGAAGTTTCACACCTTTACTTTACATTGCCAAACACATGATCACAACACCAGACTATATCATGTAGGTACGTGTAAATTTCGGTAGGCTTACTAGATCGCAACAGGGTCCTATAATACAGTCCCAAATGTTTCTTAATTGCATACATACTTGTAAAGTTAGAACAGCACATTTTTAGAAATAAAATGAATCGCTTATTAATTCAATGTTGCTTCAGTCCAGATTTTTTTAAATGTGATCTTAATCAAATATGTGTCCAAGATTAGCTTTGTTTGTCGATTTACAATCTATGTTTTTCTTATTAAGATGCGAGCGGCTTCCGGAATAGGATCGTGCCAATGTTGAACGAAAAGTCTTTTTGTTCAACATTGACACGATACTATCGCGGAAGTCGCTCACATCTTTAGAAAAACATAAGATTGTAGACCGGGATCAAGTGTTCTATGACCGGCAATCTTTCTCTGGCGAGAGGTTTATCTGGATATACCTACGCTTTTAGACTGGTAATGAAACTATTTAGTTAGGCAAGCGGAAAAAAAATTATCACTAAAACGGCCACGAGAAAAACTTGGAAAATATTTGTAAGTTTCTGCAATGGCTGCTAGGGGGCGTAACTGCAATTTGGAATCTAAAAGTGATGTTTCTGTGAATTCCGCTATATTAACCTAACAATAAAATGTCCGGTCTTTGAAGTTGACGATAATCTGAACCTTTTTTGTTTGACAATTTTTCCTGTATCTCTAAAAATGAAGTGGTGGAGGCTATTCAAAGGTTTCCGTAAGGAACACCCTGTATCTTCGAAACGACTGAGCCGATTTTAACAAACTCGGGTTAATTGAAAAGAGTTATTCTTCGGCTACAAATATTATAATATTTGAAGTATAATTTGTGGCCCTAAGGTGGATCGATTTAAAAAAGGAAGCTTTTAATGCCGCCGTAAATGCTGGCCATCACGATATAAATATATATATCTCAAGATATTGAGATGCTGTTTTCGCGACTTGTTTAGGCATCATTTAGCTACTTTTTCATGAAAAAAAATCGAACCAATGCATTTAATTTTTTTGAGAAAATTAACCATTTCTGTTGGAATGTCGAAAAAAGCCCTCAAGCCGTGATATGTGAAACCAACAAAACTTCAAATAGTATAATATTTGTAGCTGAAGAATCGCTCTTTTGAACTAACCCGAGTTTGTTTAAATCGGCTCAGCCGTTTCGAAGATACAGGGTGTTCTTTACGGAAACCTTTGGATACCCCCCACCACTTCATTTTTAGAGATACAGGAAAAATTGTCAAACAAAAATTGTTCAGATTATCGTCAACTTCAAAGACCGGATATTTTTTTGTTAGGTTAATATAGCGGAATTCACAGAAACATCACTTCTTTGGATTCCAGTTACGCCCCCTAGCGGTCATTTCAGAAACTTAAAAATATTTTCCAGGTTTTGCTCGTGGCCATTTTAGTAGTAAGTTTTTTTACCGCAAGCCTCTACGATGGATAGATTCTCAGATACAGTACCTCGCATTCTTAGTTGGCCACCCTGTAGCATGAAATAAATTATGGGGTGTTGCATTTAAATTCGGTATCTTTTATTGTAAAGGAATTATGATCCGAGGGGTCTTAGATGCTACACCCTGTCCATACTTACGAGATTGGTTTAGTGGATGAGCAGCAGCGCTGAACTTCGCTTCTACCCCTTTTTAGTATCCCTTTTCTGGGCCTCTACACGTAATTATTTACATACTTATTGTATATAGTAATGTTTGCTACTACAATAAAGACCTTTTTTGGGGTGTAAAAATGAGTTGCTGTCGAGTCACCTTTGGAATTTTTGTTTACAGAGGGAATCGTATTTAACTTGAACTTCCAAAGGTGACTCGACAGCAACTCATTTTTGATAGCCTGTTATAAATTGTTGCACAACTCTTGTGCAGATGCAGCGCATTTTTTTAAATCGAAACAACTTTTGTTTTGACATCATCAATGGATATATTTCTAGGAGACGTCTCAATCGCCCTTTGCGAGTACCTTCTTCCGGCAATCCGTTCTTGAGGTACCTATAAGGGAATATACCCGATCACGATATAAGAGGTAGAGGAGGAGAGCTGTGGTTGGTAGAAATTAATTTCATTCGTTGAGACCTTTTATTAGACTACCATGAAGGATATATACCTAGTTCCACTCCCCCCCCCCCC